ATCTCTTAGTGTGTTTCAGGAAAGTGTGGCTTTGGAATGTTTTTCAGGAACGTGAAGCTTTTTCTCCTTTTGTCATGGAGAAAAGTCAAATCTGAGTGTCTCAAGAGACCAAGGAACTCTAGATGTTCAAAGTTCTCTAGCATATCCACTTAGGCATGCTATTATCTGTTGTCACTATATTAGGGTCCTGATTCTGGCACAGAAAACTTTCTGGGATAGTAAAGCCTTTTCTGCAATTTGATTACTCTTACAATCCTGACATAAAATTGCAGCAGATGAATGTCACTTTAAGTACTGTTATAGAGAAATATTAATTTTCACACCATGCCCTGAGTTCGTAATCAGTTGATTTAAGTATTCCATTTTCTTTATTGAGAATATTGAGGACACTTTATAACAACTATCCAGCTTCATAGATCTCACAGTTATCATTACCATCATATCTTTATGATCCTAGAGAGATTGAATAAGTCAATTCATGCTTTTCTTCTTGTATGTCTTTCTAACTTTCCACGTGTAGATGACGGGGTGATAATTGGAGCAAACCACCATGGTTTGTGTATACCTATGTAACAAACCTGCATGTTCTACACATGTACCCCAGAACTTAAAGTATAATAAATAAAAAGTAAAAAAAGAAATGTAGATGTTTAGGAAAGTAGAAACATAGATGAATAAAATAAGTAAGTTTTACATTGTGTAACAGAATGTGATAACCATCATATGTATTCAAAGTTATATTATTAATATATCTATGTATCTGTGTACAGTGTCTTTGAAAATGTGTAGGTAGTGCTTTCAAATTAGCATGTCCTTTGCATATTTCAATTAATTTTAACTGTACTCCTTAGCTGCACTCTTTTTTTCTTTCTAAAGTTTCTGAAGTGATTTATTATATCAGCCATTGATTACATCCAAGAGCCAAGTCTTTCTTCAATCCTGTGATATGCCTCTTCCCTTTTTTAATATGCATTTTTAATTGACAAAAAGAAGAGTATATATTTATGGGGCCACATGTGATGTTTTGGTAAATGTTTACATTGTGGAATGATTAAATCAAGCTAACTGACATATCTGTAAAAAAAAAAAAAAAAGACAGTCATCATTATGCTGTAGCATACCAAGAGTTATATGATATCTCACTTATCCCAAGCAATTAGATTTATGTTGTTACTTTCCAGGCAATTAGCCAATTCCAGAATTTCATCCAGATTATCTGTTTCCTAGGAACTCTTTTGGCACCAACATTCTTAAGGTAGGTGCCTCTGGAAGAGGATCATGAGCCAAGGATTTGAGTGAAAGCAGTTTGTTTGAGAGATGCAGGGTAAATCAGTAGGAAAGTGGAGAAATCAAAGGAAATAAAAAGCAGCCAATATGCATATTATTGAGCCAGCTTCTATGGCGGAACAAGAGCTTAACCCTGGCAGGTTATGGTACAAAATAAATATATCTGTATTATTCCACACAAGGGGGGTAGAAGCCTCAGCATTTACATATCAACTGTTGAGAATCAGTGGTGCATGTTGATGCTTGGTGTTGTCCAGCACTTACAGCCTGTTACAGGTGCACAAGAAGTACTGACTTCTACAGTTCTGGAAAAGACCCTTCCAACTGGCAGTTGGAAGTTGGCAGAAACCCAATAACATTTAATATCTTTGGAAAATGGTTGGAAGAATGTCTGCTACAAAAAAAGCTTTATAATTTGCATTTCACATTTTTGTTTTCAGTTCACATGGAATTGGTTTTTGATTTTGTGTGATATTGAGATCCAACTTCATTTAGATTTTTTCATTTTTTATCTATTTTACTTTTTCCCCTTTACTTCCTTCTGTTTTATCTCTTTCTCTTTTTTTCTCTATTTTGTCCTTTACTTTTTTATACTCTCTCATCTTTGTTTTCAAATAGGGAGCTAATTGTCTCAGCAACATTTATTGAAAAATCTTGTTCCCAGTCATCTGCAATGCACAATGTGCATATGCTAAATATCCAACTAATGCATATATTTGAGGCCAACATAAATAGTATTCTTTTTTATTTTTGTACTGTTTCAGACTTACAAAATGACAATTGGCTCTGTCAGACATTAATTTAGTATCTGATATAAATTCTAATAATTCATTAATATTATTTCTTGACTTTTACGTACATAATGATGTACTCCTTAAATAATGAGATTTCTTTTCCCCTTTTCTCATTATTATTTTTTTACCTGTTTTCTTATCTTATTGTGGATAGCTACAACTTTCATTACAAACATTGAATAGAAATGGGGATAGTGGCCATCATTTCCTTATTTTTTCTTAAAAGGAAATGCTTTCATTGTTTCACAGTTGACTACGTTATTTGGTGTTTATTTTCACCCTTTTAATTAGATTACCTTTAAACAAATGCCTTTTTATTATTTCTCTAAAAGTTTGCATTTGTTTCAATCATCTATAGATATTATCCTAGATGTCTTCTGCATCTATTAGGAAGCTCATGTGATTTTTCATTTTTATTTAGTTGTAATGGAATATAATAAATTAATATAATAAATGGGTTTTCTATTGTTAAATCATTTCTATTAGTCATGTCATGTCATTTCCATTATTTTTTTTGATATGTTGTGTGATTCATTTTGCCTTTTTATTTATTTATTTTTCTAGAGGAAAGAGAGTTTCTGTCTACATATTTGAGTAGGGTAACTTTTCTGTGTAAGAATAACTTTTTTACACTGGTCCTTTCTAGATTTGAAATCAAGGCAAAAAAAAACTTGAAAAACTTGCTATATTTTCTATTTAATTGTATTGAACAGTATTTACATAAAATTGAATTATGTGTTCCTTCAAATTGAGAATTAACTGAAGATGATATGTTGCAATGAGCTTTTGTGGAAATATTTATTTTAATACTGATTAAGTTTAACTAATGGCTATAGGACCACACTAATGGTCCTTTCTTCTTCAGCTGGTAAATTATGTTTTTCTAGGATATTTTTCATATCACAAAAATCTTTGGTTTTAATTTATGGCCATGTTGCTCATAAGGTTCTCATAGTCTCTTTTTAAAAAAGGTGTATCTTTTCATTTTATAATTTTATTTTTTTGTTTTTATAACAACTGAAGTCAAAGGAGAACATGCAATTGATGAGCTATTTGACTTGATAAAATTCAAGTTTTCGATTCATTAACCCTGAACTCTGTACTGACTATATAAGAGATAAGAAAATAGGGAACATTAAGTACATGAGAAATATTTTCATTATGGCAAGAAAGCCCAGACTATTATAATCATTTTACAACTGTAAAATGATTAAATTTAAGAGGTAAAACGTCTGGCAATAAACACTGAAAAATAGCTAAGGTGTTAATTTGTTTTTTTTTTTTTTTTAAAAAAAATGCCTCCCTGATAGGGTGTGTTTATATAGCACATCCAGTGAAACATTAGAGTAGATCAGGAGTATAAGTTTGATACCATTTACAGAAATTCAAAAAGTGTTCTATAGGCAATTTGGTGCCCAGTTAAAGCCAAATGGACAAGGTTGAAATTTTAAAAGATATTTCTAGCATAATTATAAAAGATTAATTTAAATACAGGCAGAGTCTATTAAAAGTCAGGTATAATTTATTCTCTTTACCTTGCTTCCTTTAACAGCCTTAATAATCTCAATTACAGATAATTTATAAAAGCTAACAAATGGATTCTGGTAGCTGACATCCATGTCCTATTCATTAAAACTAGGAAATAATTACCGGTTCAACTGGGCATTCTTTATCTAACATTAACTTCCTGTAAACTATTTACTGCATATAAAATGCTCCTAAAGATCACAAGCTCCACGTTTATAACATTCACTGTGTTCTAAGATAAGTTGTACAGAATGTTTTTTACCTGATATAACAATCTTTTGGTGGTTGTGGTAATAATGAAAGTTGTTATTTTATTTTTCTAGGATCAAAATTATGCCTGCATTTAATTGGAGATTGTTCAGTTGAAGAATTTACTATTCTCTGGTATAATTTAAACTATTTTAAAATCACATATTACTTGACGGTTTGGCAGAAATTGTTCATATGATTGGGCCTGCTATTACCTTATATTAGAATTAAGGGTTTACCCTTTCTTTCAATGTTATCTATGACTATTTTTATGTTATCATTTTTAACTTCATCTGTAGTAAATTTTCAATACTTTTTTATTCATGGAAATAACATACAATTCACCCAGATTATCAAACAAATTACAATGTAGTCATTTGCCCATTAATTATGTTACTTATCCTCACTCTATTTTCTATAATTTGATTATTTGTAAAATAAGAATGAATGTTTTTAAGTAATTGTCTCCAAAGTTTCTCTCTTTCTTTATTTTTAAATATATATCTCAAATTTGATTTAGTTTTCACAGTAACATTCCACAGAGATAAAGAAAACTTAATCTATTTGAAGAATTGAAGAAACTCCTGCAGAGAAAGAAGGCAGTTTTGATCCTCCATATGGGAGGGCATATGGTTGGTCTGGCAGAGGACAGTGGAGAGTCCCTGTTAAGTTTGCATGAAGTTGGAAAAAGGTTTTGAGAGCTGGCCTCATTGAACCTAATTGCCCTGAAGTGGTCGACCTTGGAGTTGTGGGGTAGAAGAATGGAAGCACTGACTCTCACAGTAAGGACCAGTGGGATAATCTGAGAAGAGTATTGAATCTCAGCCCATGTAATTTTTAAATAAATGTATATGGGTTCACAGTAGGTATATGTAGATATTTACAGGGTACATAAGATTTTGACACAGATATAAATGTGTAATAACCACATCAGGATAAATGGGGGTATCTGTCACCTCAAGCATTTATCATTTTTTTAAGCCAAATATATTTTTTATTTTTAAATTTAGTTTTTTGTTGTTGTTTTGTTTTTTCTAGGTTGTACTACAGTCTATCTTACACCTAAAAGAGCAGTGGACAAACAAAGCTTTATTACAAGAAGCAAGCACTGATACATGGCAAGTCTCTGCTTTCTTTTCTTACCTTCACTTAATTATACCACAAGTTACTTCATAGGTTTTCACCATGAGATACCTCTGTAATACTTGAAATGAGTATGGCAAAACCAGCATTACATAAGGATGAGTTCACTTCAAGTCCCAGGAGAAAGAGCATATTTCTAAAGAAAAACAAAACCAAAGCAAAGTAAAAAGAGAGGCCTAAAGGCCTTGATGCCCAATTGTGTTGGAGTTCATCAGATTCCATCTTGACTTTTTTGCTTTCAGTCAGTATTACGTTAAATTTAGTGTCTGAGTTATATCTTTATTACATGCTATATTATACATTAAGTGGTATTTTATTGAAGTATATTAGAAATAGTTTATGTTGGATAACTTTACTTGTGCAATATAATGTAGTCTCCAATCTGTCTTTTGTTTAAGCCAGCATGACAAAAGAGAAATCTTCCAAATGAAGACTTTTCATTGCTAATCATCCTGTTCAATTATTTTTATTTAGTTAACATATATCATTTTCTCCTGCTAACAATCCATCTTAGTTATGGATGCCCCATTAATTGTAGGCAAAGCAGCGTAATGTTAATATTAAAGACTTAATGACAATACCATGGTTGACTCTATGAGGAGAATAATATGAAAGCATATTTCATTAGTTGGTTACAATCATTCCTCCATCCGTATAGTTGATTTAGGAAATTGAAATTTCAGTTACCTTATTATAATACGCAGAATAACCAGGCAGAAACCTAAAGACACACCAGTAAACTAGTTCTTATGCAGGTGGCAGTAAAATTCATTTGAGCAGCAATTTATCACGAGGTGTACGTGGAATTGAACTAGAAACTGGAAAAAGTAATCTGCTCAAAGTTGCTGTCTTTGATGTGTTAAACAATATTTATCAGATTTCTCTTTTGGATTTAAAGAAGAAATGTAAAATATAAAATAAACAATACATATAAAGAAAAGAGAAAAAAGATAGAATTATCAGACTGTATGAAATCATCGCATAGTTTGCATTACCTTCTGTTTCATTCTAAAATGAGATTTCAGTGGGGAAAAGAAAAAGTTTTAGAAAATGGCTGAGTTGTTGTAGTTAAACATAATTGCTTTTATTCATCTCTAAGTGCCTAGATATAATATACACTCTTTTAAATCTTATTATCTTTAAGTATATCTGCATATTTTCTTCTTCTCCATTACATTTTGGATGTTTCTTATTGTACTGTTATGTAGTGGTGTATTTCTCTTTATATGTTCAACATTAAAATTAAAAACAGCTATTTATATATCTTCTTTCACATTTCTAATCCTAGTCACTATAAATATGAAACTGTATATTTATGGAAAATAATAGGTATCACTCTTAAAACAGATCTCACTCTTAGGATGATCATACTGAAATAGTCATGTATTTTAAAAGATTTAAAAAATAAATCATCACATAAATCTATTTAAGTAACATCTAATTTTAGACAAAATAATCAACACTGCAAACATTTTGCTTGTAGATTAACATTTTATAAAATGATATCATAACTCAGTACAATAAATTCAGCCTTAGAACAAAACAGATATTGAAATTCATTTAATTTTCAGAATCCAAATATAGATCTTTGGGGGCAGACTGCCAGCCATTTCCTTTGATCAAAGAAAATAAATTTTGTACCACCCCTGTCACAAAGACAAAAACACAGGGAGTATTTTGAATTCTGCATCAACTGGCTTTTATTTAAATATTCAAATAAGCAGAATCTTCTTCCTATGGAGAATGATTCCCTCTCTAATTAGAGTATATAAAAATTGATGGATATAATACAAAATGTGACCATCTGCATTTCTCAGTCTTGTCTTTTCCAGTTAGAATTTGCAGGTGTCTTTTAAACAATGATGAATTAGAAGGAATGCTCTTTTTTTCATTCATTTGTCTGTTAACTACCTTTGTAATAATAATACATTTGCATTTTTAATTTCCTCAGTTGTAAATGAGCACCTCTGAACCACTTCCTAATTATTTTACAATTTTCTTGTATTGTTCATTATTCATGCTTTCTATTTACTAAATAAAAATGACTTTTCCTTCGAAGGACATTTGCAATTCTTATTATGACAAACATAGATCATTTGGCTTCATATAAGAAATAAGAACTGAAAGAAAACATTGGGACATAGCACTCAACAAGAAACAAACTGGCATGCCTGCTTACCGATATATATATAGAACAGGGTGTAGGGCAGGATAAATAATCTGGTGTAACAGAAACCAGGCTTATTAATTTTTAATGGATGATGTAAAGCTTTCAACCCAACTCACCTTATTTGAGAAACTTGCACTACAGAAATGAGAACAAACTATTGACTAGCAGCCAATGAAGATAGGAACCTATATACAGTGCTTTCCTACAGGCTATGTAGATAATTATTTTTTAATGTAAGTAATGTAAATGATATTCTAAAAGAGCTTACCAGCTACTTGCTTTATTCCAAGCCTATCTATAGGTAGTGTGTTGGAGCCAGCTCCTACTGGCTCATGAGAACCCGTGGTTCATCTCTTTTCCAACTTCACCTTTAGTGACATAATTGATACCTGAAATCATCATGATGACAATATTAACACCATGAAACTTGTCAATTACATCAATTGGAACTCACTTATTTCCTCTTACGTGAGTATCTATAAGGTTTAGTAGAATTTCTTCTACTTAGTAAAATAATATAAGCAAAATCTTTCCCAACAGAATCATTTCAATGAGTCTGTATGATGATACAGATAAAATCAGAGATTGAAGGTGATCAGAGATTGAAGTTAAAGGATAGGTGGATTGAATCATCCCTGATGAGAGCTTTAATCAACATTTTTTCTACATGGGCATAAACAGCAACACAGAGAGACTCCTTTTGTTTCATTTTTAGGGGAATGATATAATAAGATTAATTCATATGATAAAACAACATTTGCTGATTCAGGATATGTTTATATTAGAGTGACTTAATCTTCTATTATGGCCATGTTACAGTGAAAGTTTATAGCATTAATCTTTCAGAATTAAGAGAAAAGCATATGTAGAAAATTAAGAACTAAAAATGGTCAATAAGAGCTGAATGAGTTGTTTTAAGGACTAAAAACATATCTTTTTGTCTCTGATGTGAAGATGAGTTAGTATTTGTATGGAGTTGTTGCATTTATTTATTGTATTATTTATGAATTATTATTATTATTTATCTTGTCACCCTCATGGGCCTATTCTTATGCACATCCATTTTGTACAAAGGGATATATCCAGGTTTGGGGAGTCCTTTCTTACAGAAAATAATGCAAAAACTATAGAGAGAAAATTAACTACGAACTTGAATATTTAATTTGAGCAAAAATTCTAACAAATTGGAGGTTGCAGTGACCTAAAATCATACTACTCCATTCTGGCCTGTGTGACAGAGTGAGTGAAACTCAGTGGGAAAAATATTATTATAACAAATTATATATTTTAAAATGTTTAAATATACCAACAAAATCATGAAACGGAGAAAATATTCATAATATTTTTGTTAATTAATATTCTGGCATACCTCTATGTTTTTCTCACCCTTTGGGCTGCATTCTCTTCATTGTCTGTTCACATTATAGCAATTTTAAATTATCTGTTTAATAAAGAAAAAAAGAAAGTCTATTTTCTGGGTTGATCAAAATTTGCTTATTATCAGTGATATTTGATGGGTTTTTGATGATCACTTCATCCTTGATTTACAGATTTAGACATTGGATAATTGGAAGAATTTTTCAGACTAGCTTATGATTCTATGTGTTTCACACCTCAATTCTTTTTAATCACTGCCATACTTCTAGTACCAAGTGGCATAGAATATGTTCATTCTCTCACAGCTGTCTGTGAGAAAGGGGGTCTGCAAATTAAGTTTCATAGCTAAATGGCAAATTTGCCTCTGTGTATGGAGTAAGTCACAATTTAAATATTAAGCATACCCAGGGATAGATACTATGTTAAAATGCTTTTAGCAATAAAGAAGCGTAGGAGTCATAGATTGCCTCTTCACTATCCAGGAAAGAATCATACCTTTATATGGTACCACATCTGAGCTCATTTTCTCTCTCTCTCTTTCTCGACCACTAGTCGTAGGCAAAAATCTAGAAAATATTTTAGACTATATGCAGACCAATTATATGAACATGCTTCAGGAACTTTATCTAAAATTGAATACATTCATAAACCAAATCAATGAGATATTTTTATTTTCCAATACTGTGTAATATTAAACAATAATTGATTAAGAAATAAAGGTATTTAATATTTGTTTTTAATGAGGAAATTTATATAATTTCTAAGTTTTAAAATGTTTCTCTAACAAATTTTGTCATAGTTATATATACTTTGTCAACTAGATTTATTTTTCTTATGATATGTTAGGCATCACTTAATTTTTCTGAGTAAACATTTCAGAGATGCCCTGTATTATTTAAAAAACATAATATATTTTAAGCATTTGTATTGTTTATTTTTTGGTTTATAATATCCCTCCTTTCTTATAATTACTATTACTAAATTGCCATTCTTATCTAAATAATTTATGTATGCAATATAGAAAGTCTCCACTATAAGGTATGTTCTCTGCAAGATTGCAAGAATGCAATGATGAAAATACATTGCTCATGCCTTCTATATAGTTATATTAAGATCTATAATTGTATTAAAACAATTAATCTTTGAGCTTTTCTGTTCTGATTCCATGTACTTGGTTCTCTTCCTCATTCTGAGGCCTCAGGAAATTATGAATGTTTAATGGAAATATAAAATTAAGAAGCAAATATTTAATTTAGTTTTAGTTTATTTTGTAAAATTTAACTTCCAAAATAGATTCTTGGAACCCAGACAAGACAAATTAGAATTTGGACAGCAATAGCCTCATTTATTTTATTTAGAAAAGAAAAAATTCTCTTAAAAGAATCAAACAGAGAACTTGGAACTTGAGCATCCTTAGTCTCTGCAGGACCCAGGGATGGGGCTACAGAGTAGGGTGGGTATTAACCATAAAGAAAGTTTTCAGATCTCAGAAGAGAGGCAATAAAAGACAAGGCAATGGTATCATCTGTTACAGGGAAGATTCTGTGATCAGAACCATTTATCCATGGCAGGTATTTTCCATTTAAGAGAGGTCCAAAGGTAAGATGTGATGAGAACCATATTAATTTTTCCTCTCTGGTAACTCTTATAAAAACCTTAAGATAAGAACTGTGCCCTGCTAATATAGTGATTACTGGCCATACGTGACATTCATCCACGTATGCAGACGTTGCTGAGCTATTTGGGACAGTGCCCTTTAAAATGGCTGAGGCACTTTCAGGCTCCTGAGACTAGAATCCTTGAAACCAGAAGATGAGGAGGAAGTAAGAGGAAAGCCCCAAGTGCCTATGATTCGAAGCAACTTGAAAATAATGAAACTCAGCCTGTATATACTCTAGTGTGGAAACCTGTATATTGAATGAAATCATTCTTTAAATTTGTGACATATTAAATTATTTTTATTAAATGCCTCATCATATTATTACTACATGATTATAAGTAATTCAATCACCAAACTTATTGAACACTTCTGAGTACAAAGCAGAGGGGTGAGACTTAAGCAAGTACAGTTTGCTACAACCAGACTTAATCCAAAGGATACAATTTGAAACCTTAATTCTTAAAAACCTAACAGGAGACACAAAAATAGGCATGATTCCTCTGAGACACTTATATTGATACGTAGACTCACACATTCTCATATTTAGCAGGTATCTTAGATGCTATACTGCAAAACACACACTGAACATAAAAACATTTTAAATCAACCCAGACAATTCGTTTCCTACCTCTCAGAGAAGCTTGTTCAATTATTGATGAGATAAACTTGTTAAAACGTTTCTTTTTTAATGAATAAATTATGCCTATTTATAGCTTTAATATACTGATATGTACTCTGTTTTCTAAAACTATATACTCTAAGTAAAATTTGTCTTCTAGTTTTGTGGTCCTGACTTTTCTTGCTTTTGCTTAGATATTCTGAATGGATTAAGTTTATATCTGAGATAGTCTCACAGGTATTATTGGGCTTTTTAAAAAACATACGCAAGTCTATCAACGTAATTCACCACATAAACAGAACCAAAAACAAAAACCACATGATTATCTCAATTGACGCAGAGAAGGCATTTGATAAAATTCAACAGCCCTTTATGCTAAAAACCCTCAATAAACTCAGTATCGATGGAACGTATCTCAAAGTAATAAAAGCTATTTACGACAAACCAACAGCCAATATCATACTGAATGGGCAAAAACTGGAAGCATTCCCTTTGAAATCCGGCACTAGACAAGGATGCCCTCTGTCACCACTCCTATTCAGTATAGTACTGGAAGTTCTAGCCAGAGCAATCAGGCAAGAAAAAGAAATAAAGGGTATTCAAATAGGAAAGGTGGAAGCCAAATTGTCTCTATTTGCAGACGACATGATAGTTATACCTAGAAGACCCCACCGCCTCAGCCCAAAAACTCCTGAAACTGATAAGCAACTTCAGCAAAGTCTCAGGATATAAAATCAATGTGCAAAAATCACAAGCATTCGTCTACACCAATAACAGACTTAAAGAAAGCCAAATTAAGAACGAACTGCCATTCGCAATTGCTACAAAAAGAATAAAATACCTTGGAATACAACTCACAAGGAACGTAAGGGACCTCTTCAAGGAGAACTACAAACCACTGCTCAATGAAACCAGAGAGGACACAAACAGATGGAGAAACATTCCATGTTCATGGTTAGGAAGAATTAATATCGTGAAAATGGCTATACTGCCCAAAGTAATTTACAGAATCAATGCTATCCCCATCAAGCTACCATTGACTTTCTTCACAGAACTGGAAAAAACCACCATGAACTTCATATGAAACCAAAAGAGAGCCCGCATAGCCAAGTCAATTCTAAGCAAAAAGAACACAGTGGGGGGCATCACACTACTGGATTTCAAACTATACTACAAGGCTACAGTAATCAAAACAGCATGGTACTGGTACCAAAACAGAGATATAGACCAATGGAACAAAACAGAGGCACCGGAGGCAACACAACATATCTACAACTATACAATCTTTGATAAACCTGACAAAAACAAGCAATGGGGAAATGATTCCCTGTTTAACAAATGGTGTAGGGAAAACTGGCTAGCCATGTGCAGAAAGCAGAAACTGGACCCCTTCCTGATACCTTACACTAAAATTAACTCCAGATGGATTAAAGACTTAAACATAAGACCTGGTACAATAAAAACCCTAGAAGGAAATCTAGGCAAAACTATCCAGGACATAGGAGTAGGCAAGGACTTCATGACCAAAACACCAAAAGCATTGGCAACAAAAGCCAAAATAGACAAACGGGACCTAATGAAACTCCACAGCTTCTGCACTGCAAAAGAAACAGTCACTAGAGTGGATCGGCAACCAACAGAATGGGAAAAAATTTTTGCAGTTTACCCATCTGATAAAGGGCTGATATCCAGAATTTACAAAGAACTCAAACAGATTTACAGGAAAAAAACAAACAAGCCCATTCAAAAGTGGGCAAAGGATATGAACAGACACTTTAGGAAAGAAGACATATATGAGGCCAACAATCATACGAAAAAATGCTCATCGTCACTGGTCATCAGAGAGATGCAAATCAAAACGACATTGAGATACCATCTCACGCCAGTTAGAATGGCGATCATTAAAAAATCTGGTGACAACAGATGCTGGAGAGGATGTGGAGGAAAGGAACACTTTTACACTGTTGGTGGGAGTGTAAATTAGTTCAACCATTGTGGAAGACAGTGTGGCGATTCCTCAAGGCCTTAGAAATAGAAATTCCATTTGACCCAGCAATCCCATTACTGGGTATATATCCAAAAGACTATAAATCGTTCTACTATAAGGACACATGTACACGAATGTTCATTGCAGCACTGTTTACAATAGCAAAGTCCTGGAATCAACCCAAATGCCCATTTATGATAGACTGGATTGGGAAAATGTGGCACATATACACCATGGAATATTATGCAGCAATCAGAAATGATGCGTTTGTGTCGTTTGTAGGGACATGAATGAATCTGGAGAACATCATCCTCAGCAAACTGACACAAGAACAGAAAATGAAACACCGCATATTCTCACTCATAGGCGGGTGATGAAAAATGAGAACACATGGATACAGAAAGGGGAGTACTAAACACTGGGGTCTATTGGGAGGAAAAGGGGAGGGCCAGTTGGGGGGGGAGGTGGGGAGGGATAGCCTGGGGAGAAATGCCAAATATGGGTGAAGGGGAGAAGCAAAGCAAAGCACACTGCTATGTGCGTACCTATGCATCTGTCTTGCATGATCTGCTCATGTACCCCAAAACCTAAAATCCAATAAAAAATTAAAAAAAAAAAATTTGCTGTAGCGTAAATAACATAGGCTACAAAATTCTTTGTGTTACCTGAAAATACTTTTCTTTCTTTTTTTAGTCTTTACTTTCCACCATTCTGGAGAACGACTGCTCTATAAGAGAGATAATCCTCATCTAGTAAGTGAAGATGGATTTTATGCTACCCACCCTAAAACTTTTCTAGCAACGAATTTTTCTTTTATATGATTTTACAACTCAGATTTCTTAAATATTATGTCTTGTGTCAAGTCTCTGACTCTAATCATCTTGGTGATTATTCTTCTAATTGTGGCGAAAAGTCATTACTGAGATCCAGTCTATTCCAAGCACTGTTAACAAAGATAAAAGATGAGTGAGTTTTATTTCTTGGTTTCCAGAAACTTAGCACATAAACACTGGTTACAGAAATATGCATCTTGATACACAAATTACAATATAGGTTGGTAAGTGCTGCCATGAGTCAGTCCAGGCTAAGTTATATGTCAGTAAAAGCACAAACACAACAAGCCTCTCCAACATATTGGTGGTTTAAACAACAAAGGATTTCTTTTCCTGGAGCTAAGGAATTCAGCTTATTGTAAAAATATGAGAATCCAGAGTGATAGAGGCAACTACTCTCTCAAATATTGGTAGCTACTCTTTCAGGGTGATGAGAATATTCAGGTGCATCTGAAACCAGCAAATAAGTGCACTATCCTGGAAGTGACAGACATCTCAACTCATTGGCGAGAAG